CAGACCTGAACAGGACCACTTCCTACAGTCTGAAACTGAAACGAAATGCAAAATTATAGATAACATAAAGTATGACAACTAAAAGAAACCTACTTGTTACAGACCTAAACAGGACTACTTCCTATAGTCTGAAAGTAAAACGAAATGCAAAATTATAGATGGCCCAAAGTATGGCAACAGTAAGAAACCTACTTGCCACAGACCTGAACAGGACCACTTCCTACAGTCTGAAACTGAAACGAAATGCAAAATTATAGATAACCCAAAGTATGACAACTAAAAGAAACCTACTTGTTACAGACCTAAACAGGACTACTTCCTATAGTCTGAAACTAAAACGAAATGGAAAATTATAGATGGCCCAAAGTATGGCAACAGAAAGAAACCTACTTGTTACAGACCTGAATTGGACCACTTCCTACAGTCTGAAACTGAAACGAAATGATTTACCCAAGACATGGAAGTAGCTCATTTATTTTACGTTATACCAGTTGCAAAAACTTCAACGTTGCTTCGGTTCCACTTAAGTTGCATGCGCTGATAGTCCATACACACATCATGCTGTGTCCTCTGTTATGCTTGTTTCTCCCCCTTTCCATTATTCTTCGACAATGACGTGCACATTTTTAATGCAAATAGTACATGCAACTCTGCATGCCGCTTTTGCATTTCTTTGTTGCTATAAAGTTCTAGTCGCACTTCTTGTGCCTTTCGTGGCTTTTGTGGTTGCTTCGCGTAGCCTCTTGGCTTTTCTTCTTCTTGTCCGCCATCAATCGGCGACTGTTTGTGTGCCTTGCAAGCACCAAGAACGATTCTTTTTTGCATTGAATGTCTTTTCTTTCGCCGCTTTGATTAGTTGATTTTTGTGCGCCTTTGCCGCAACAAGTGTTTCGCGGGGACGTCGACGGAGCAAAAATCGTTAAAGAGTGAAAATTCATTTCCGCGTTTTATTACAAAAACAAAAATAATAGAATTTCTGTTTGAACCTATTTTTCGGGAGGGAAATTGTTGAAGCGTAGCTACTAGAATTCTCAATTCTGGCTGTGAAGAGTATTTTCTTCTGTTGAAACGAACAAATTGGAAATTGGAAATTGGAAATTGGAAATAAATAGTGCGTAACTAAACGTGTAAACAAAAACTATAAAATTCGTGTGAAAAGTCTCCGTACTGTAATTTCCTTAGAAATTTAAGACGGAAATATTAAAGAAAATTCATTGCAAATTCTATTAATTTCTTAACAAAGAATTTAGAAAATATAACAAGCTTTGTGACATATCCGATATTTCATAATATACATACATACATACATACATACATACATACATACATACATACATACATACATACATACATACATACATATGTATATACATACACACTTTGTTTATTGAATAGGTAAGTTTGTTCTGTCAGTGAAAAATTATCCATCAATTGACCGTCCTATTTCTTATGTTTTTTTTTTAAATATATTCTATGAATATTTTACTATTGTTTATTATTTATTATTATTGAAAAGAAGGGATCGTGCACTGCGACCTAAAAGATCTATTCTGCCCCTTAGTCGCATTAGAGTGTTTCTCCAAATCCGATTTCTTTAATGAAAGACAGTAGAGAGCCTATCTTTCCTGGTCTTGGATTCCTATGACCCAAGATAACTATTATTACCTATTAAAAAATATTGCATATATATTATTAATTTAACATATTAAAAGCATTGAAAAGCTTGTATCTTCTTGACTCTATCAAGCGGCAGTCAAGAACTCCTGTGTACTCCAGCATATGTCAAACATCATTGGCGCACAATTTCGTACGGATTCTGTACCAAAAAACGACACCTTAACCCATTTGTGTCACCCACTTGTGTCACTGAATGACACAAGTAATCTTAATGAAACAGCCATAATAACGATTGAATCTTGATGTATATAAAATTAATTTGAAATCAAGTTCCTTATTTACAATCGCAAATTATGCGACGATATAATATAAAGTACTCTAAACGGAATGAAAAACAAAATAAAAAAGAGGTATTCAAACGTAGCATGATAACTCTATAATGTTATGATTGCACACCAATAATAGTTGATATACTAAAAAACACTTTACCATAATTCTATATTATAAGTTCTTTATACTATACTCAGCTCCAGGAAAAATTTCTTCATGTTTGGTCGTTAATTAAATATATGCTAATTTCGGTGGCAATTTGTAGTTTTAGGTGTCTTTCTGAAATTTTTTTTACCTTAGAATCAACAAAGAAATCCATGACAAAAAGCCCAAAAAATGATTTTGTAAGAACACACAAAAAGTAATCCTTCGAACTGTTGTGTATGATTTCTGACTACACGTCTATACTTGTTATATAAAACTGTACTATAAACGCTGCTCTTAAAGTTCTGTCTTCTTGGACTTTCAAAT